CGCTGGTCACGCGGATTCAGCAGCATGCCTGTAGGAGGTCCGCTGGTGCTGCACCATTGGCATCCCCGCCACCGAATTGCCGCCGAAGCTGCACGGAGGTCCTTGGGGTTGGGCAGTGTCTCCAGTCCATCTTCTGCTTCTTTTTTGGCACTGGTGATGGAGAGCAGTGCCGAGAATCCCATGGCGGAGTAGACTTTCTCTGCACCAGATGTGACTGATTGTGTGGAGAGTCCCAGAACTGAAGAAGAGTCCTTTCTTGGTGCCAGAGAGGCCAAACTACACTGCCTTTTCATCAGAGAAGCCAGAGCATTTCTCACCAAGGTAGAAGTGCTCAGAGCTGAGTCGGTGTAGCTTGGCTTTGAGGGGGGATGGAGTGCTGCCTCCATGAGGAAGAATTTCAGTCTCTTATCCCTGTCCTTCTGAGTGCAGGGCCTGAACCCTTTACAAATTCTACAGTGCTCTTGCATGTGGGACTCCCCCAAACACTTAAGGCAGCTAGAATAGGGATCACTGCTAGGCATTGGCTTGTGGCATGGTGCACACTGCTTAAACCCCGGGGACCGAGGCATGCCCTGGTGCAGAGAGGTGTTAACCCCACTAAGCAGGGTTCTCTAACCGAAATACTAAAAACTGGAACCGAAACTTAACCACTAGTGAATAACTATATACAAGAAGTCGAAAAAGTCCACTGAGAGGAGTACTTGCGAAGAACACAAGGAACCAGCAACCATCACAGGTGGTAAAAAGGAACTGAGGGGACAGTGGGTCAGCAGGCCCTATATACTGGTGCTATGAAGGCACGACTTCAAGGGGTCCCAGAGCCAACCCGACAGATACCACTGAGGGGAAAACTTTCCAGCGGCAGTGCTTGGGGCGAGCACATACCTACGCTGGAATGGACATGAGGAAGCACTCAAAGAAGAACCCCTAGTTCTTGTGTTATGTGAAGAGGTAAATATCACTTCCCCATTCACTTTCTCCACACCATTCATGATTTTATACATCTCTATCATATCCCCTAGTCCTCTCTTTTCTAAGCTAAACCATCCCAAAACTTTTAATTTCTCCTCATATGGAAGCTGTTTCATACCCCTGATCATTTTTGTTGCCCTTCTCTGCACCTTTTCCAATTCTAATATATCTTTTTTGAGATGGGGTGACCAGAACTGCACATAGTATTCAAGGTGTGGGCATACCGGGGATTTATATAATGGCATTATGATATTTTCTGCTTTATTATCTATCCCTTTCCCAATGGTTCCTAACATTCTATTAGTTTTTTTAACTGTCTCTACACAATGAGCAGATGTTTTCAGAGAACTACCTATGATGACTCCAAGATCTCTTTCTTGAGTGGTAATAGCTAATTTAGACCCCATCACTTTGTATATGTAATTGGGATTATTTTTTCCAGTGTGCATTACTTTGAATTTCATTTGCCATTTTGTCACCCAGTTTAGTGAGATCCCTTTGCAACACTTCGCAGTCAGCCTTAGGCATAACTTGAGTAATTTTATGACATCTAAATATTTTTCCACCTCACTGTTTACTCCTTTTTCGAGATCATTTACGAATATGTTGAAAAGCACAGGTCCAAGTACAGCTCTTTGGGGGACCCTGCTATTTACCTCTTTCCATTGTGAAAACTGACCATTTATTCCTATCCTTTGTTTTCTTTCTTTTAACCAGTTACTGATCTATGAGTGGACCTTCCCTGTTATCCCATGGCTGCTCACTTTGTCGAAGGCTTTCTGAAAGTCCAATTACACATTATTGACTGGATCATCCTTGTCTACATGCTCAAAGAATTCTAGTAGACTGGTGAGGCATGATTTCCCTTTACAAAAGCTGTGTTAAGTTTCAGAGGGGTAGCCGTGTTAGTTTGGATCTGTAAAAAGCAACAGAGAGTCCTGTGGCACCTTTAAGACTAACAGATGTATTGGAGCATAAGCTTTCGTGGGTGAATGCCCACTTTGTCGGATGCATGTGTTGACTCTTCCCCACTTGCGATGGACCGGATAGTGACAGGATATCCACCAGAGCATGGGAGGACTCTGAAATATCTCCTGCCTGAGTCGCCAGGTTCTGAGTTACTCTCCTGAGAAGCTTCTGGCAGGGGCGGCTCTATGTTTTTTGCCGCCCCAAGCACAGCAGGCAGGCGGCTTTCGGCAGTGCGCCTGCGGGCGGTCCACTGGTCACACGGATTCGGCGGCATGCCTGCGGGAGGTCCGCTGGTGCTGCACCATCGGCGTCCCCACCACCGAATTGCCGCCGAAGCTGCGGGACCGGCGGACCTCCCGCAGGCATGGTGCCGAAAGCCGCCTGCCTGCCGCCCTCACAGCGACCGGCAGGCCGCCCCCTGCGGCTTGCCGCCCCAGGTACGCGCTTGCTGCGCTGGAGCCGCTCCTGGCTTCTGGTGTGCTCTGTAGTCATCCTGAAAGGGGGCTATAGATCACAGTTGCCAACTTTCATGTGGTAAATAAGCAGCCTGACTTTCACAATAAATCAAAAATCAAGCTAATCCCATTTCAAAACAAGGCCAAAACAAGCCAATCCCTGGAACCTAACCCCCCTCATTTACATTAATTCTTATGGCGAAATTGGATTTGCTTAATATTGTTTCACTTAAAGCCGCATTTTTCAGGAACATAACTACAATGTTAAGTGAGGAGTTACTGTATATTCCTACTGGTACACTTTTATTATACAAACATGGTATTTCTAGCCATAAAGATTCTATGGGACAGTTTGATTCATTTAAGATTTTTACTATATTTGACTGTCTGCGTTCTTTCACATATAGTGCCACTCCCCCACCAGCATGACTTACTCTGTCATTTCTCTATATTTTGTACCCTGCTATCACTGTGTTTCATTCATTATCATCATTCCACCAAGTTTCCATGATGCCTATTATACCAATAGGACAAATCCAGTTTAACATCATTTCAAACACAGAGGTTAAAATCTGGTTTAAAGGATGTGCCCAGAGTTAGAGAAGAGTCAGTGGGTGGGTGCAGGCTTTTATACCCTTGGTTCTAAAATACTGGAACAGAGCGGGGCACACATATGCATTGCCAGTGGGTAACTGTTTGCAAAGAATTCCACTGTTGCATGGGAGGCCACACAATCTCATAATGGGGCACAGATAATGTCAGGAAGAAAACCAACCAATTTCACCCCATACTTGGAAAAGAAACTGCTAAAGCATATCTGGTTTAAAATGTTATTGCTAAATGAAAACATATTTTCACAAAATTATACATTTGAATAGGTCATTATCAGATAATGTGTTAATCTTCAAAATAAGGATGCAGACAAAAAAATAAGATAACTTTACAGAAGTTAACATTTTCTTCCTGCAAATTATATTCTTTATCTCTAGGCAAATGCTTATTTTACAACCATATCTATATCTTGCTCCCCTGTGCCTAGAATGGAGATAAAATTGAAATGGCCATTTTCTACTGTAACTGTACTGACTCTTACTGTTCCAAAGCGTATATTGGGGAAGTGCTTAAGATGTCAGGCCATAGGGTGGATGCTTTATGGAAATTTAACAATCTTTGTGAACTGAAGGATGCAGAGTGGTCAACTGTACAAATACTATGTGCCTTGTCCAGAGATGAACTGGTTATGAACATTTCTGCTTAGCGTAGTAGGAAGAGAGCCTGAGACATAAGCCCTTGAATCAGAGGCCTGGTATGAGGAAGGACCCTCTGACAGAATCTGGCAAGAACAGGGCTGATATAGCAAAAATACACCTTCCTGAGAAGTGCTAGTCACAGAGTACTCACGCAAACACATCTCGATATCAAGTGGTACCAGAACATTCCGATATCGAGGATGGTACAAAAACATTCCCCAAGTATAACAGGAACACACTGACCCCTCCTAAAAGATAAGGTCAGGATGACAGTACGTAACAGAGATGTTTTGATCAAACCAACATATACAAGGTGATGGATGATAACTAACCATGTTAGGGGGCAGTAACTATGTCAGAGGGACAGTACTAACTTGTTTGTATCGGGGTATAAAGATATATCTCAGAGGGAGTATTTTTGTTTGGCCTAGGGAGGAACAGAAAGTCCCACCATTTACTGAGCTGATCCATTGTTACGGGTATATGTGTATTAGTGGTCTGGTAGAGTCTGCGGGATACTAATACCGTGCTTCGTCGACAATAAACCTGGCTGGGTGCCTTCGTTCCTTAACAGATTTTGTGGTCATTGGGTAGTTTGCTTGAGGTCTGCAGTGCCAGCTGTTTGCACAGGGCTGGGGCATCACACAGAGGGAACATACACATGCAGCCAAACATCTATTAACATCTAACTACACTGGTGACCCCGACCACTAATCTGGTAAGTAAGCAAGCTGTCCTCTGTATAAATTGCAACCTAACATGACAGTTAGCCAGAAGCTAGGAAACTCCCTTAACCCCTCCCTGCTAAGCCCCAGAAAGTTTAATAAGGTATGCACGTGCTGGGCTGCTAGCAAATCTCTCTTAATCTCTCTTGGCTCAGGTTTCCCTACTTTCCTAAATTGATCTAACCCTCCCTTTCCCTGCCTCTCCTCACTTCTGCCCTTTCTCTCTTTTTTAAAAAGTTAGAAGTTATAGTTTTTACAAAAACCTCCAAAAATAAAGCAATTAAAAACCAAACAAAACAACAAACAAACAGAAAACAAGGTAAAAACTTTACTTTAAATAAATCCAGTAAATTAATTATTTTAACCTTCATTATGTTACCCCTTAACATCTATCAACATCTAACCACAACTGGAAGCCATGCAGAAACAGAGGAATTATTCTGTGACAGTGACTAGATCTAGTGATTAGCACTTGGCTAAATTATTCCCGAAGAGCCAATATCAGACTGTGGTGGGCAGTGCAGGGTAGCAAAACAAGGAGGTGGAAAAAGATAGAGGTGATCCTGTTGGCTGGGATAATGTTTATAAAGATGGTTAATGCACAGGTATAGTGAAAACAGTCTTTATACCTCTACCCAATCAAAGATTTGTTCATCATTCGCCTTGTCCTCAATAATGAGTTTTTCTAGCTGTTTGTTCAGTTCGTCAGCAGAGAGTTCTTCCTCTGAAAGTGCTTCTGAGGAACTGGAACAGTCAGACACTGTGAAGTCCAACTTCTGCAACATTAGAAGTTATGAGAAACGATTAAATATGCTTTTCTACACTGAATCATACTAAGGCAAAAGAACAAGCAACACTTTATTCTGTTTTATCATTATAATGACGTATGTCCTACCTTTCATTTAAAAGAATCAGAGCAATTTACAAACAACACACTGATGTACAATCTATACTGAGGGATCACTTCATCCAGCAAGGAAATGCAGCCACCTTTGAGGAAAAAAGTGGCACAGTGCAACACTCCACTCCACTTTAACCCATGAAATGAAGACATATACATTGTCTAATTGAAACTACAGGGAGTCAGAATGCAAATACCAGATTTGGAATTTGGTCATGAAGGAGGGCTGTCAAGCGATTAAACAAATTAATTCCAATTAATCGCACTGTTAAACAATAATAGAATATAATTTATTTAAATATTTTGGATGTTTTCTACATTTTAAAATAGATTGATTTCAATTACCACAGAGTATACAAAATTTACAGAGCTCACTTTATATTTATTTTTTATTACAAATATTTGCCCTGTAAAAAACAAAAGAAATAGTATTTTTCAATTCACCTGATACAAGTACTGTAGTGCAATCTCTTTATCATGAAAGGTGAACTTACAAATGTAGAATTATGTACAAAAAATAACTGCATTCAAAAATAAAACAATGTAAAACTTCAGAGCCTACAAATCCACCCAATTCTACTTCTTGTTCAGCCAATTGCTCAGACAAACAAGTTTGTTTACATTTGCAGGAGATAATGTTGTGCACTTCTTGTTTACAATGTCACCTGAAAGTGAAAACAGGAGTTCGCATGGCACCATTGTAGCCGGTGTCGCAAGATATTTAGGTGCCAGATACGGTAAAGATTCATATGACCCTTCATGCTTCGAACACCATTCCAGAGGACATGCATCCATGTGATGGGTTCTGCTTGATAACGATTCAAAACAGTGCAGACTGACGCATGTTCATTTTCATTATCTGAGTCAGATGCCACTAGCAGAAGGTTGATTTTCTTTTTTGGTGGTTCGGGTTCTGTAGTTTCCCCATCGGAGTATTGCTTTTTTAAGACTTCTGAAAGCATGTATCACACCTTGTCCCTCTCCGATTTTGGAAAGCACTTCAGATTTTTAAACCTTGTGTCAAGTGCTGTAGTTATTTTTAGAAATCTCACATTGGTATCTTCTTTGTGTTTTGTCAAATCTTAAAACGAACAACGCTAGGTCATCATCTGAGACTGCTATAACATGAAGTATATGGCAGTATGTGGGTAAAACAAAGCAGGAGACATACAATTCTCCCCGCGAGGAGTTCAGTCACAAATTTAATTAATGCATAATTTTTTTAACGAGCATCGTCAGCATAGAAGCATGTTCTCTGGAATGGTATCCAAAGCATGAAGGGGGCATATGAATGTTTAGCATATCCAGCAGTAAATATCTTGGAATGCTGGCTACAAAAGTGCCATGTGACCACCTGTTCTCACTGTCAGGTGACACTGTAAATAAGAAGCAGCATTATCGCCCGTAAATGTAAACGAACTTGTTTATCTTAGCAATTGGCTGAACAAGTAGTAGTACTGAGTGGATTGTAGGCTCTAAAGTTTTACATTGTTTTTGAATGCAGTTTTGTAACAACAAAAATCTACATTTGTAAGTTGCACTTTCATGACAGAGATTGCACTATGGTATTTGTATGAATTGAATTGAAAAGTACTATTTTTTATCATTTTATAGTGCAAATATTTGTAATAAAAATAATAATATAAAGTGAGCACAGTACACTTCGTATTCTGTGTTGTAATTAAAATCAATATATTTCAAAATGTAGAAAAACATCCACAAATATTTAATAAATTTCAATTGGTATTCTATTGTTTAACAGTGTGATTAAAACGGCGATTAATTTTTTAAATCGCGATCAATTTTTTTTAGTTAATCGCATGAGTTAACTGCGATTAATTGACAGCCCTATCAGGAAGCTAAGGCTAAAACACTATTTTTGCAAAATGTGACACAGAATCTATAATGATCACTAGTTCTCAGATCTTGGTTTTACATTGCATTTCCAGTAGCACAGTACTCCCTAAAATCATGCTGGGCCACTGTTTTGGTACTGACTCAAGGGAAGAGTGCCACTATTTAATCACCCACATCACTTTCAAGAGTTCCTTTGGTGTCTTCCACCAAATGTACTGCCTAAACATAATCTGAATAACTGGAGTACCTCATTTTGACAATATTTAGGGATGGAACTGAAATGAACAACTAGGACTCAAAGTAAAAATAAAATACAAACCAATGGGCTAAATTTATCTTACAAGTACACCTCACAGGGCTCTTCTCTAGCAGAAACTTGCTTTCAACTCACGTGCTCTATGAGAAAGGTATGTACATCCTCCCCTTCAGGTAAGTAGTCCTTCCAACTGAGGCCAGCCTCCCTCCATAAGGCTCCTACTTTCTTATGGCTCTAAAACACAAAGCAGTTTGTTCATTTTTTAAATCTGAAGAGAAAAGCACAGGAGCTTAAACAGGCTGGAATCGTGCTGCTGCATAAAGAAAAATAAATAATCATTTAGCCATCAAAAATATGCCTGGCTATGATGTGAAAACTTCCAGAAAGCCTGTGCTGGAGAAATTATATATAGTATCCTACCTTTTACAGGTAAATGTTGTATCTTGTAAGATGCTCAGATGCCACAATGTTGTGTAATAAATATGGCTGGCTTGATGTGATATATGGAGTTTGCAACAACATGACCAAAGATCATCTACAATAAAGTGACCATATGTAAAAGTGTGGTCCAGTGGACATGATACAGAACTGGGACTCAAATGACCTGGGTTCTACTCCTAGCTCTGCCACTGACTTGCTGTGCCCTAGTAAGAAATTACTTATTTTTCCATCCCTCTAAATGAATAAAGTTAGAGCATGTCTACTTTAGAAAAATCATGTTTACATTGATATCTTCTGTATGGAGATCAATCCTCAAGGTCATGTGTGTGACATCAAGGTCACAGTTTAAATCCTACAATTCATTGTAAATCTATGGAAAATTACCTTTATAACCATATGTGGTACAACCTTCTGCATCTGACAGTACAGTAGACTTCATGCCTGACCTTTTAGAATTCCCCAAAATGTTGATATATATAATAAACAATACTGAAGATAGTGATAGTAATAAGCTCTTCTTTAGTGCCTTCCACCCAAGAATCTCAACATTCTTTGCAAATATTAATGAATTAAGCCTCACAACACATGTTTGGTAAGGTATTATTATCCTCATTTTACAAATGGGTTATTGGGTGTCTAAAGTTAGACTTCAAGATACATGTGCCCTGATTTTCAGAGGCAGATTATAGAAGTCAGTGGAAGCTGCTTGTGCTCAGTATTTCTGTGACTCACGCCTCAGATTTAGGTGACTAAATATGGTGTTGGATGCCTGACTTTAGGCAGAGCTAGAAATAGAACCCAGATCTTCTGACTTTAGGCTGTGCTTTAATCACAAGATCATGGCTCCTCTCCCTGCTCTTCTCCCACATGATATAGAGAAAATGGCAAGCCACAGTCCAAACAAGCAACAAATTACTAATTTAAAAAAATAAAATATAAGCTTCTAGCTACATGAACGAGCTGTTGCATGGAAAAGCTTCTGGAACAACTGACCTCATTTGAATGCATACTTTAAAAAGGAGGTGCTGAATTTTACAGGGGTTAACGTACAAGACTACACAAAGTGAATTATTTAGCCTGACCTTACAAATACAATTTTAAAAATATGATACACTTATAGGGAAACTATCAAGGTGTCTGTACAGACTGTGAAAATGTGTATGAGAGCTTTAGAAGTTACATGGTAAACAGGTATCTCTATCCCTAGACTAGAGACAGGTCAATCTCAAGAGTTTGCAAGTTTAGTTTAGATAAACATCCAGAAGTCTGAATGGCCATCTGAAGCTTATCCAAATTCCCAGAACCTCTCAGGTCTGCAAGAACAGGCTCTTTTGCGAGATTGCCAGTACTACTTGTTTCTGATCAGCCCAGAAATACCTTGAGAATGGCTCTCTTGCAATATTTCAGCACTCCAGCTTCTGGAAGAAGCCAGGTACAGCGATACCTACAAAAGGGAAATGTGATAAGAAAATGGTAACCCAACTTTTTGGAATCTTATGAGGCTTGGTTTGAATTTGGGGGAGGAAAGGCAGGTTTCTTATGTTATTCACACAGGTTCACCTATACCTAAATGTTGGGAATATGAGCACATTGTCTTTATGCATGATCATTTACTTTCTGCACCCAACAAAATTTATAAGTCATATCACAGCATACTTACCATTTGTTTGCATAGAAGGTGCAATATTTCAGAAAGCAAGACCCCAGCTCTTCCCACAGGAAGTAAAGGTTTGCTAAATTCTCTGGAATGGAACAAAAATAAATACTTTTATTATAATATTTTATTGTCCCAGACAAGTTATACTGTTGTGAAAAGCACCTCTTGATTCGGGGCAAGTGAGAGGTGGGGATCAAGCTGATGCAGAAAACTGCACAGCTTTAAATTTTGCTCTGTATATGGGATCTCATCTTGCTCCCATTGAAGTTAATGTTAAAGCTCTGATCAACTTCACTGATGCAGAATTGGGCCCATATTAGACTAAAACTAAAAAAAACTGCACAGGAACAATTAAAACACCTCTATACCTTATTTTTACATAGGGCCAAATCTATTTATTTTGATGGGATGAGGATTTGGTCTGTACTTGTAGATTGTAAGGCCTAGATTTTAAACATATGCAGGTCCTTGATTTCAATGGGAGTTAGGTGCCCAAGTACCTTTAAAAACCTGTCCCTAAGCTCTTTGGAGCAGGGAACTGTTGCTTTCTAGATATTAGTATAGTGCTACAATAACAGGGCCTAAGCTTGGTTGGCCTATCTGTGCTGCTGCAATATAAATGTGATTGAAGGTGATAATGATAAAAATATAGTAATGGTCTGATTTTGGAAAATGGATTTCCATTTTTGCGGGTGTAGCTTTGTGCTCCTGGTTAATAGTAATCAGACAGATGTCTAAGGGGTAATTAATTCTAGGCACAATTATCACAAGTGAAAAACTGTATCTTCAGAAAATGAAGGCAGAGTTCACATCCCCTTAAAAGATCAGGGCCTTAATATTTCCCTAAGTCACTCTGGTCCTACAACTTTAGGTTGTTTTTAAATCAGCTAGAAAAAAACTGGGACTGAAGAGGATTGGTAGATAACATTTAAAAACAAAAAGAAAAAAGAAAAAGACTGCACAACAGCAAGCTCCTGCACCATCAGAGCTTCCACATTAATGCAAATTTGATTTCTGGAACACCTCTCACAAGGTCTCACATTGACTCTCACATCTGAGTCTCATATTATTCCTGTCTAGTCAACCAACAGAAGTCATGCTGCTTAGATGTCATAGCATAATCAGGCTAGTTTAGGCATGACGGTCACTGAACAGAAATAGCATTGCTTACATTATAAGTTCTCTCATAGAGATTCCGCCTTCTTTTAACATGGGGGTCACCAATTCAGCTAGATACAACCAAATATGTGGTATATCAATGGCCATATCATCTGCCAGCTCCAAGGTGTCTGAAAACCTTTGAAAGAAAGGAGAAAATCCAAATATTAAATCCAATTCCAATCTCAGTGATTTTTTTTTCTGCCAAGTAAATCCACCCTGCATTATATACTTTTGATATTAAAAAAGCCCAATGGTATGCCATCCAATCCTCTCCAGCTTATTGTGTAGCATAATTACTTCTTGGAAATGCTGAAGCACTGGAAGTATGTGCAAAAGGAAACTCCCTCCATGTATCTGGAGTGCCATGGAAGGTGGTAGTCAAAACATACAGGAAAACAATTTTTAAAATTCCCATTACCCAATAATGAGCCACTCATTAACAGTCCTGACATCTGTAAGGATAAAAAGCATTTTCTTTTTTAAATACAAAACCTCTAAAAAACAGAATTTTACATGTGGGAGGACATAGAAAATATGGTATAAGATTTTCAACGGAACAATGTTTGATTAAGTCTGGTGTGATCAATCAAGTGTCTAAAACATAACACAAGAAAATAGTCAATAAACCAGAATGTGGCCTTCCAAAAGCACAATGACAAATTATCAATGAACCAGCTTCATGTTTCATCAGTGGTACCAGGCACTCACTTTTTACCTGGTGGATTATAAATGCTTCTCTATCAGAAAGTATCAGAGGGGTAGCCGTGTTAGTCTGAATCTGTAAAAAGCAACAGAGGGTCCTGTGGCACCTTTGAGACTAACAGAAGTATTGGGAGCATAAGCTTTCGTGGGTAAGAACAACCCTCTGTTGCTCTCTATCAGAAAATTCACACTGATTCATTGGTTCCCAGGAACCTTCAATAGTCTTCTGGTATCCATTTAAAATGGATTCTGATGAATTCTCTTTTTCTTGTTCACTGGTTTCAGGGATGGTTTTTGAGGAGCTGCTGTGTCATATGCCTGTTTCTTTATTAAGGCTTCTGGTACTGGTTCATCATGGGTTTGCCAGTAATTTGGCTGTTTATTTCCTGTCACGCAGGGAGCTTCTCACTAGAGTTGAGCTTAGTTTAGATTTTGTGCTATGATCTTTTCTCAGACCATGGCCCTGAATCTCATGGTAACATGTCTTGGGTGAACAGTATAGCAAGTCCTTAGCAATTTTGCTGTATATCCACTGAATGTCATGGCTCTCCACCCTCATTCAGTTATCTCTAGTGCATTCATTTGGTTTCTCGCCCTCCCGTCCCCCACAGGAATACCACACATCCTAATACTTCACCAACAGTCCACTTTTTTGGGCACCGTAACTCATTATCAATATCAAGTGAAGTGTGATAAATTGTAGTTTACAGTGTTGTGGTAGCTGTGTTGGTCCCAGGATATTAGAGAGACAGGGTGGGTGAGGTAATACTTTTACTGGACTAACATCTGTTGGTGAAAGAGACAAGCTTTCAAGATACACAGCTCTTCTTCTGGTCTGAAGACCAGACTCAGTGTGAATAATCCTGAATCTGTAAGTCACTGCATGGGCGCGCGCACACACACACACACACACACACACTCTCTCTCTCTCTCTCTTTAAACCCTTGTGTAAGTATTTCTTATCCTAGCTTACATGGAACAACAGATTTTAACTAAGTATCATAAAGCCTATTATGTTAGCTTTGTGTTTTGGTGACAGTATGTGTTTCCAAAGTGAATGTTCATCTTGTCCAGCAGCAAGCCATTTACTTGGAAGGTGTACTTACCAAACATTATACTTGGAGACCAAATATTTCTACTCTATGATCTATCTGGCCTCCACTAGTCATAGAAGCAAAAGGGCCTTCCAAGTCTATTAATAAACCCAGGTTATGTAATCCTTCTGCTTCAGTTTTTAGATTTTTTCCATGTCAAAACTCACTGTCAGTGATGGATTTGCTGACACTGTCATCACTAACCAGTCAATAGCAGTGTGATGTCATAGAATCATAGAATATCAGGGTTGGAAGGGACCTCAGGAGGTCATCTAGTCCAACCCCCTGCTCAAAGCAGGACCAATTCCCAACTAAATCATCCCAGCCAGGGATATGACAACCTTTCAAATAAAAGCACCATGAAGTGGCTACAGACACTCTTATTGGGATATGTGGTTCGTTTTACTTTTGTGCAACAGATTCAAATCTAGGCTAGGTCAGTGTGGTCTGGATGCAGTTACCATATGACAATCTAACACCTGTCCAATGACCAATGAGGTGGTCTATCTTCAGTTCCTAGAGGACAGGTGTGCACATAACCAGCAGCATAACTGCATTTGGCACCATACTACCCTTATCTCCAGAGTTGGTCCCCATAAATCAGAGCTGAGTCACTGACAGCGGGTACTGCATGAGTGAAGCCTGTCTTGTCATTGCTAGAACGATCCCCATTCTGGGGATAGATGGAGGACTTTAGTTTAAAGAGCTGCCAATATGGCACCTTTCGCAAACATTAATTTCACTCAAACATTGATTTAACACACCCCTTACCCCAGTTATACGAGCCTCCTCAATGGGCAAACATAAATCCTCTTTCAGAAAGGATACTTGTAGGATACTGTTGCTCTCACAGGAAGCTGGGAAGGGGGTATTCCCCAACACAAGGAGTATGTTTTTGAAATTAACACAAAAAGAAATTAGAGATCTAATTAAAGTGTTCATATGGCAGAATACCAACCCCTTGAAGAAGTCCTGTTTGCTTAGCTTTTCTGACTGCACCAACTGATATAGTAACTGGCCCATGTGATCCCTGGTGATCTGACTCCTCTCGAGAGTAGACTCCACTCCGACTCGCACAAAAATGGGCAGCAGACTCTGTGCATGCAATTCCTCCATACATTGCATTGCTTCCTGTTCAAACAACACAGAGGATCATTTATCTGAATTCTGGGAAAAATCAAGACATGCAAGGCAGGAGAATGTTCTTTACTAAAACATAGTCCACGACACTTAGTACTTTTGGCTGAAGTCAATAGATTATTTTGATACATTTCTGTCATTCAGGGAAACTGAAAGGTGAGGGTACATAATTAACATTGCTTCAAGACATCCCTGAGGCAGAGAACTCAATATGGGTAAAAAAAAATAAAAGGAATTAGATATTTATACAGATCAGAGTGACCACAGTTACAGTGGAGGGAATCGATCTAAGTATGTCGACTTCAGCTACGTTATTCACGTAGCTGAAGTTGCGTAACTTAGATCGACTTACCGTGGTGTCTTTACCGCGGTGAGTCGGCTGCTGCCGCTCCCCCATCGACTGTGCCTGCACCTTTCGCCGAGCTGGAGTACAGGAGTCGACGGGAGAGCGCTTGAGGAGTCGATTTATCGCATCTAGACTAGACGCGATAAATCAATCCCCGCTGGATCCATTCTGCCTGCCGATCCGGCGGGTAGTGTAGACATACCCTCAGAGTAAATATTCCCTGGTGACAATACTAAATTAAATTTTATTAACTCTTGAAATCAGACTTTAATAAGCCAAATATTTGTCCTGGGAGCTAGCTTTTGGACAAGTAGAGTCCTGTACAATAGGATTTACCTCTGCCTGTTTTTTTTGGCTACAAAATTTTAGAAGAATTTTGGAACCGTGTTTAATGACTATTTGCAGGGTGTCAATTCAGAAACCCCTCATTCTAGTCACTTGAAACTTTGCAGAAAAATTCTACCTGTGCTACAGATCTAGCCTATCAATTTTGAGGACAATATACTAGTTGTGGATTTTACAGGAGAGGCCAAAATCCAGCTTACAATGGAAACTCAGTTGCAACCTTAACTATGGAGTGATGACAGTTGCTCAATAATTCTCAACATTTACTAAAACTACTCTGGAGTACTTTGTTCAATATGTATTATTTCATCTGCCTTGAGATCAGAACAACGGGTTCCTTATAAGTGAATTAAACCTTTGTCTAGTTTCCCTAGCTTTCTATATCCAGCACTGACATACTATTATAATAGTGCTGCTCAGTGGTCATGACAGACGTATCTAAAACTTTCTGCTTACAATACCCAAAGGAGACTATTTTTCCTCTGTCGTTAGCAATGGAAGAACCAGAACAGTCAGAGAACTGTGCTAAAGTTGTGCACCGATTCCTTCTATCCAAATTCCAATAGGTCCCATGTTTATGTTAAAGAACTAAGAACAGGGTGTTTAAAAAGACACTGTTCCTGGAAAGGAAAAAATGCTAAAGATCCCACTGTTCCATGGCTTTCTGGAAGGTGAGGTTTTCATTCTGTTTACCTTATAATCATTTATGTGCAAGAACTCATCAATGATGGATTTGCACTTTCTCTCCATTTCCTCTTCTGACAGTGAAGATTTGTCTTGTACTGGAGCTGTGGGAGTTTCTGGCTTGGCTGGTAATAAGGTAAAGAAAACAGACACTGGATAAAGAGGTCATCTTCAGTTCCAAAAAAAAGTATTTAAAAAAAAGTATTTAAAAAATCCCTCAAGTCTCCTCTCTCAGCCAACAGAACAATTAATAGGCACTCTCTACTGTGATGACTGCAAGAAGGCTGATTTGGAAGCATGACTCTGTGGGGGTAAAATAAACAGTTTAGATTCTGTTTTCTGACAGTTTCTCATGAGTCAGTCTGATCATCAGGCATAAATCATTTCTTATTTAGCTTGTCTTTCAACTTGTGATCCCCCCACGTCTGCAAATCACCTTTCTCAGCATACTTGGCAGTGTCATAGCATTTTACACCTTCAAAGCACTTTATAAAAATTAAATAATTAATTTTTGAGCTGTGGCAGCAGTTCTCACTGAATACTGCAATTTTACAGCACGTTGCTTGTGAACGTCAGAAACCAAAGACAATCTCCTGTGACAGGGTCGGGCCAGATGGCTATAGGAGAGTGATAGAAGGCAGATATATTAGCTCCAAGTTAAGCAGGTCCCTTTTCCCTGGGTAAGGTAATAGGGGCAGTTCCAGAACAATCAGGAACTTGCTGGAACCAATTAAGGCAGACAGGCTGATTAGGACACCTGGAGCCAATTAAGAAGCTGCTAGAATCAATTAAGACAGGAAGGCTAATCAGGGCACCTGGTTTAAAAAGGACCTCACTTCAGTCAGTGAGGGGCACATGTGAGGAGCTGGGAGCAAGAGGTGCAAGAAGATGAGAGTGAGTAGGACTGCAAAGTACAAGCGTTACCAGACATCAGGAGGAAGGTCCTGTGGAGGCCATGGGGAAATAGCCCAGGGAGATGTAGCTGTCACGCAGTTGTTACAAGAGACACTATAGACAGTTGCAATCCACAGGGCCCTGGGCTGGAACCCAGAGTAGAGGGCGGGCCCGGGTTCCCCCCATCCGCCTCAACTCCCTGTTTACGACAAGAGGAGGTGACCTGGCCTGTGGGTCCCACCAGAAGGGAAGGTCCCTGGCCTATCCCCCGACCCACTAGGTGGGTCAGCAGAGACTGCGGGGATTGTTCTCCTCCCTTTCCCCATGCTGGCCAGTGATGAGGTTAGCTGAGTGAACAGCAGGTTTGAGCCGCTAGCAAAAGTGGCCAAACTAAGGGCTGCCGTGAATCTCTGAGGCGAGCAAATCCGCCAATAAGCGCAGGACCCACCAAGGCAGAGGAGGAACTTTGTCACACTCCCTAATTCTAAAATCCACAGTAGAAAGCAAACCCCCAAATACTCTCTCCCCAGGCAATCCTCCGGTCTGGACTTGCCTCCCTCAAACTCACTTCAGAGAAAAGCCTGAATACACAGAGGGGCTTGCACTGTGCTCTGCAAGTTATGACTGTTATTTAGTATTTGTATTGCAGTAGCATTCAGGACATGCTAGGCACTGTCCACGCAAATCATAAGGTACGTCCCTACCCCAAAAGGCTCACAATCCAAGGCTTTATACACATGGACCCTTTTCTTAAATTTCCCCAGTATTGTGCCACTACTGGCTCAGCTCCAATGGAGGGAGCAACAGTGGGCCTCGAGCACAGACAAGGTGTCAATAGCCACCAATGTTTCTACTATTATGGCATCATGACTTGCTCTGAGCAAGGTTAGGTGGCACAGTGGTAAAGACGTTGCATGTTGTCTACACTAGATTTCCCACCATTGGGAAATGTTAAAGTGTAGACACAGCCTAAAGAGACAAACAATACTGGTGCTTAGACATCATGGTGGGAAGAGCCTAAAAAGCATCTAAAATAGAACATGACTAACCAGGGATTCAGTCGTACCGGATCCTGAGAGTACACACACGCAACTGAAGTCAGTGGGACATGAGGGTGCATAGCACCTCTTGAGAAGCTGAAGTTCATAGGTTCTGGCCCAAGCAGATAAAGTTTGAGAGTGAAAGGCCTTCCACTGAAAATGCTATGCCCAGCATTCCATCCTGGGACCATTAACAGAAGCATCTTGGCTAGTCTCAACTGTTGAGAAGGTACGAAGATAGCAAGGTGGTGAATGGGCAACCAGGTCTCAGCCCCATATTTATTCCTTAGTTGTGTCCATTACCGTGGCACCTTACAAAAATTAACACAAACACAATATCCAACAAAAATAGATCTTTCTAAAATGACCACATCCTGATGACTCTTACACTGTGCCCAAACCTCATCCGGCTTGGGCTCTGACCAACCATCCCAGGCAACAGGCTCCAGATACATGAGGTCAGAACTGAGAATATATCTTCCACTGGTCCTGGACTATAAGGTGGATAGAAAGCTGGCTAGATTGTCGGGCTCCATGTCTAGTTGGCAGCCGGTATCAAGTGGAGTGCCCCAAAGGTCAGTCCTGGGGCCGGTTTTGTTCAATATCTTCATTAATGATCTGGAGGATGCGTGGACTGCACCCTCAGCAAGTTTGCATATGACACTAAACTGGGAGGAGTGGTAGATACGCTGGAGGGTAGGGAAAAGATACAGAGGGACCTAGACAAATTAGAGGATTGGGCCAAAAGAAATCTGATGAGGTTCAACAAGGACAAGTGCCGAGTCCTGCACTTAGGATGGAAGAATCCCATGCACTGCTACAGACTCAGGACTGAGTGGCTAGGCAGCAGTTCTGCAGAAAAGGACCTAGGGGTTACAGTGGACTAGAAGCTGGATACGAGTCAGCAGTGTGCTCTTGTTGCCAAGAAGGCTAATGGCATTTTGGGCTGTATAAGTAGGGGCATTGCCAGCAGATCGAGGGACATGATCATTCCCCTCTATTCGACATTGGTGAGGCCTCATCTGGAGTACTGTGTCCAGTTTTGGACCCCACACTACAAGAAGGATGTGGAAAAATTGGAAAGAGTCCAGCGGAGGGCAACAAAAATGATTAGGGGTCTGGAACACATGACTTCATAGAATATCAGAGTTGGAAGGGACCTCAAGAGGTCATCTAGTCCA